TTTTGAAATGAACTTTATTATTATTATTATTATTATGTCCCTACGTGATTGAAGTTGATAAGACCACTTTCCCTCTGGAAATTTTCAGAATAGACGATGTCTTTACCTGCACAAGTCACAACGTGATTTAAATCATTCTCTGTAAAATGCACAGTAACTTAAAAAATTATACGTAAGAGAGACAGGTCGTCGCCTTGGAGACAGGTTTAGAGAAAACCTCTATAACATTAATAAACAGACTGTCTGTCCGGTCTCCAAAACATTTCAACAGCACTAACCATGATGGAATGTTAGACATCGTAGTTAATGGTATACTGTAAACTAGTAACACATTGGATAGGATCTATATGAAGATTAAATTGATAACAAGATTTGGTACGTTGACTCCATATGGGATAAACCAAATCCACAATTTTACGTACCTGCCATGTCTTTTTCATGTTTGGTGTTTTAAATTTTACTCTAAGTCACTTCATTTCCATTCTTATTTAATTCCTTTCTGTCCGTTTTTTCGCCCATACCTATTTTATCTCCATTTTAGGTAGTACATATGTATCTTTTTTATGTAAATTTAATTTATACTAATTTAATAGTTTAAAGAGATAGCTCTATGATGTCATTTGCGAGCTTTGTCCCTGGTTCCGATAGGGTGAAATCCGTGATTCCGATAGGGTCGAAACCCAGGTTAGGGATAAGTTTAAAGCTCATGTTAGGCTTATGGATAAATTTAGGACATAAGTTGGCCATGGTCAATACAACGGGTTAGGCTTAGGGATAAATTTAGGACATAAGTTGGCCATGGTCAATACAACGGGTTAGGCTTAGGGATAAATTTAGGACATAAGTTGGCCATGGTCAATACAACGGGTTAGGCTTAGGGATAAATTTAGGACATAAGTTGGCCATGGTCAATACAACGGGTTAGGCTTAGGGATAAATTTAGGACATAAGTTGGCCATGGTCAATACAACGGGTTAGGCTTAGGGATAAATTTAGGACATAAGTTGGCCATGGTAAATACAACGCGGAGCTATTTCTTCCCATTTCCATGTATTGTGTTGTTGTACCCATGGAGACATGCGCCGAAACATAGACTTAATATTAAGGCTTAACATTTATTGTTATACTGACAAAAATTGTTGGTGTCTAATTAATCTCTTCCCTATTTCAGTGTGACCGCCCCGAGTTCGCTCTTTACTCGAAAGTATAACGTCATAATTTTAATTTTATTTTCACTTCAATTTTTCATCTAGACTAGAGGAAACAGCGTTTGGTTGAGGTCACCAAATAACTTTTATGCAGTGGGTTTCATCAATACAAATCTTACGAATGTGTCGATTTTACAATGTGGAGCTATGTAAAACATTCTGTTTAGACAACATTGCATCTCTTGTTTTCGGAAATTTCCAATTTCTTATAATTGATTCAGCACTAAAAAAACACGAAATAAACGCCCACTTGTGTAGTGCATCAAAAGATGGCTGCAGCTATACCAACATCAAAAAATAAGAATTATAGAGGATAAAAAAAAAAAAAAAACAAGAACATAATAACATCGCCATATTGAAAGAACTAATTGAAAATGAAGCTCAATGATGTGAACGAGGAGAGAGATGTTCAAAAGAATAAAAAAAAAACACGAAATAAACGCCCACTTGTGTAGTGCATAAAAAGAAGGCTGCAGCTATACCAACATCAAAAAATAAGAATTATAGAGGATAAAAAAAAAAAAAAAACAAGAACATAATAACATCGCCATATTGAAAGAACTAATTGAAAATGAAGCTCGATGATGTGGACGAGGAGAGAGATGTTCAGAAGAATAAAGCTGGAGGTGACCTCAAACACGTAGTGGCCGTTGTATCGGGTCTGGTCGTGTGTCTTATGGGAGTCGTCGTATTGTTATTAACTAATCCCTATGCTTACGAATATTTGAAATCAAAAGAAACTAAGTCAGAGAAGGTAAGAACATTACCGATATGTGTTGTTGCTGCTACTGTTTTTAATAGTGATAATAACATTTTGGTACAAACATTGATTTTGAAAAAAAAAATTAATAAAGTCAATTATTCAAACATGTACCAAATTGTACCAAACATAACTTACCAAATGTTCCAGAAATACAATCTGGTCAAATATATAATATAAGATCTATTCAACTCGACATCGTTCCAAATGCACGTGATTTTCACGGGGGTGGCCTTTGGCACCTTAGCAGAATATTTTATAATAGGCCCTTTAAAAATATGTTGAAACTCTTACACGGAAACTACACACTGTTTTAGAGAGTCCGCTTCATCAGTGGCCCACTCCCCGGGCTGGAGGAAGGCGACGCTGCGACCAGTCCGCTGCCGTGTTTAACCAAGCAATGTGTGGAGACAAGCGGCTACATCTTAAGCAAGATGGACTTTTCTGTCAACCCTTGTGATGATCTGTATCTCTACTCTTGCGGTGGACTACATGCCAAGACGAAAATTCCTAGAAAAGAGTCCTTTTATGTGTACACAGAAATTGAAAGCCGTATTAATTTGAGATTACAAAAGGTAATTTTCAAAATTAAAATAAAATGATGTGTATTAACCTTTAACAGGCTAAAAAAAAATATTTTCAATATAGAAAACTTTCAAATTTCTTTAGAAATGTTTTTAAAAGTTTTTTTTAAAAATAATTTTAAACCTTGTTCATTTTATTGCAGAGTTTGTCATCCAATGCTACTGAGCTATTTGGCAAGAACTCGAGCGCTGTGGCAAAGATGAAGTCGTTTTATCAAATGTGTATTGATGACAAGGATTTTGAGGAGAAAAAAATGTCTAGCGCGTCATCTGTAATTTTATTTGTCTTGTTGATGATGTTATACTTGTTGTTTAAAGTTATTCATATGGAAGTTTATTACATGACAACCTGTGGTTAGAACTTTTATTACCTGACAAATTGGGGAAAGAACTACATGCAGGCCAATCTGTAGTAAGACCCAACATGACGCTATGCGTATTAGAAATGTAGGAAATTTTTTTCATCATGCCTGTCAATCTGTGGTGAGAACTAACATGACACCACGCATGGTAGTAATGTTTGCTGCATGCCTGTCCATCTGTGGTGAGGACTAACATGACACCAGGCATGGTAGAAATGTTTTCTGCATGCCTGTCCATCTGTGGTGAGAACTAACATGACACCAGGCATGGTAGAAATGTTTGCTGAATGCCTGTCCATCTGTGGTGAGAACTAACATGACTCCATGCATGGTAGAAATGTTTGCTGCATGCCTGGCCATCTGTGGTGAGAACTAACATGACACCAGGCATGGTAGAAATGTTTGCTGAATGCCTGTCAATCTGTGGTGAGAACTAACATGACTCCATGCATGGTAGAAATGTTTGTTGCATGCCTGTCCATGTGTGGTGAGAACTAACATGACACCAGGCATGGTAGAAATGTTTCCTTCATGCCTGTCAATCTGTGGTGAGAACTAACATGACACCAGGCATGGTAGAAATGTTTGCTGAATGCCTGTCAATCTGTGGTGAGAACTAACATGACTCCATGCATGGTAGAAATGTTTGCTGCATGCCTGTCCATGTGTGGTGAGAACTAACATGACACCAGGCATGGTAGAAATGTTTGCTTTGCTGAATGCCTGTCAATCTGTGGTGAGAACTAACATGACTCCATGCATGGTAGAAATGTTTGCTGCATGCCTGTCCATGTGTGGTGAGAACTAACATGACACCAGGCATGGTAGAAATGTTTGCTGCATGCCTGTCCATGTGTGGTGAGAACTAACATGACACCAGGCATGGTAGAAATGTTTGCTGAATGCCTGTCAATCTGTGGTGAGAACTAACATGACTCCATGCATGGTAGAAATGTTTCCTTCATGCCTGTCCATCTGTGGTGAGAACTAACATTACACCAGGCATGGTAGAAATGGTTGCTGCATGCCTGTCCATCTGTGGGGAGAACTAACATGACACCATGCATGGTAGAAATGTTTGCTGCATGCCTGTCAATCTGTGGTGAGAACTAACATGACTCCATGCATGGTAGAAATGGTTGCTGCATGCCTGTCCATCTGTGGTGAGAACTAACATGACACCAGGCATGGTAGAAATGTTTCCTTCATGCCTGTCCATCTGTGGTGAGAACTAACATGACACCAGGCATGGTAGAAATGTTTTCTGCATGCCTGTCCATCTGTGGTGAGAACTAACATGACACCAGGCATGGTAGAAATGTTTGCTGCATGCCTGTCCATCTGTGGTGAGAACTAACATGACACCAGGCATGGTAGAAATGGTTGCTGCATGCCTGTCCATCTGTGGTGAGAATTAACACCATCACACCATGCGTTGTGGAAATAGTTCCCTCATGCCTGACAACATGAACTTTTATTCAGATGACAGTTTGGGGTAAGAACATTTCTCACACTAAGTTCTAGTTGGATTCATTCCCTCACATTTGGAACCTCAGCTCAAAAACTATATACATTTTTCTCGTTAAAAAGGAAAATAATTATGAATTTATATTGATTCTCACCATGTCCTGCTGGAAATAAATATCAGAGATATTTTCTGTGTCATTCTACCTGTCTCTCTGGAAATAAATATCAGAATATTTTTTGTCATTCTCACTTCTCTTTGGAAATAAATATTATAAATATTTTCTGTGTCATTCTTACTTTCTCTCTGGACAAAATATCATATATATTTTTTCTGTGCGTTTTTACCTGTCCTCTAATTTTAAAAAAGTCATAGATATTTTTTCTATGTCATTCTACCTGTCTTTCTGGAAATAAATATCAGTGATATTATCTGTGTCATTCTACCTGTCTCTCTGCAAGTAAATATCAGGGACATTATCTGCGTCATTCTGTGTCCACAATTTCCTTATGTAATAGTATCACGAATGATGAATGATGGGTGCAAACATTCACTTTTGTCACAGGTCATCAGAGATCTCGGTTCCTGGACTTTGTCCAACCTAGGTGGTGTTCCTTTTGACAAGCGGAAATGGAGTCTTCAGACAACGCTGACAAAACTCCACCAGATGGGATTCAGCTTGTTCTTTCGCGTAGTTATCGAGGAAGTCCCGAACACACAATCTAACGATATGATGAAAGTACCGCATGTAGGTAGCCAGCTTATTATATGTCAATGTGTACTGCTTTGTAGGCAGTGGTCTTGTTACACGTAATGTGTACTGCATTTGGATCGTAAGATCATTACATCTCAATGTCTTAGTGTATGTAGGTAGTCAGCTTATTACACATTATTGTGTACTGCTTATGGGTATTCAGCTTATTACATGTCTAATGTGAGCTTCAAGTTGTTAGTCAGCTGATTTCATATTGTACTCGATGTAGATAAACAGCTGATTATATGTCAATGTGTACTGCATACAGTTACTCAGCTTATTATATGTTAATGTTGAAAGCATGTAGGTAGTGAGCTATTTCAATTTGTACTTAATGTAGATATTTTGCTTTTTATATATGTCAATATGTAATGCATGTAGGAAGTAATCCTATCACACTTGATTGTACATTGTTTTTAGGTCTTTTGCTGTTTTACAATAAACAAAAAATGATTAGGAAATCTTATAGTTTATTAGTTGACAATGTGCAATGCAAATTATGTTTCTATTTCCTACAACATTTAAGTTCAAGCCAAATGATGTAACAACATACATGGACTGGTTTTACCTAGCTGGCATTACCTATCGTGCTTTTATGATCGATTACATTATAAAAAAGGCGTATGCATTGGGTAACATCACTGGAGATGTCCAATCAAAAGCTGAGGCGATACTCAACTTCTTTGATTCCCTGGTAGGTTGTGACATCATAGATTTATGCATAGTTTTAAAAAAATATTTGAACCACGCGACATCACAGATCTATCTTTAGTTTTCTAACATATTTTAAGCACTTGACATCACATATCTTTCTTTAGGTTTTAACATATTGTAACCACTTGACATCACAGATCAATCTTTATGTTGATACGATATTTAAAACCACGCACCTTTCAATAAAATTGAGTCAATTTAATTTTATCGTCTAGTTCATAATAATACAAAGTGAACGCCTTAAGATTCTCTCCATTGTGAAATAGTTCATAAAATTTGTTCTCCATTTTATCGCTTCTTTGTTACACACGTCGTTAAAATACGTCAGTTCTAAATATTTTTTTTCTTCAATTTTACAAATAGTCAAAATAGATGTGTTATCTAAACTGTCCAAATACTATAAAGTTGTATGTTGTGGGCATCCCCCAAATCACCGATTACGTGTTAGACGTAGTTAAAAATCGTATAGTTGATAGTTTAAGTGTCCCGGGCTTCACAGCTCTCACGTTTCAATATTGTTCGAGTAAAAAGTGTTTTTTTTTTAGTTCATTCTCTTAAGTCTTTGAGATACAAAGAAGAAATACAATTACACGGACATTACCTATTATCATTATGATGAAAAATTCAGACAGAAATTCATATCTGCCAAGTAACTTATACGACGGAAAACCGTTCTTTACAGCAGGCAGCTTACGTTCAGGCATTCAAACGATTTATCGCCCCAGAGATAGAAGTGATCTCCATCGGCAAGTTGCAGCAAAAAATAGGCTCTTTGGTATGTGATTTTCGTTCAATGACAACTAATGAGTTAAAACTGTGTAACATAGACATTGGTTTAGTCCGCTAAAAAGATCTCCGAATGGACTCTAAAATGCTGTTCAATTTTAGAATCTGTGAATAGGAATCGAACTTTCAACAGAGGGTTTAAAACAAGCCTTGAACTTTGAACTGATGCACGTATTGTTTTTCTTAGCTGGATCTGAAGCAGTACCTCAGTGAGATGTTTGACGTTGAAGTCGGTTCTAATGAAACGTACATCTACTGTACCGACCCTGGCTATTTTGAGTCTTTAGGGAAAGCTTTCCAACGAACTGACATCGAGTAAGGAGGACACAGTTTGTTCTATGTGGTTTTCATAATTGATTTTTATGAACATCTTGTTATTTAAACTTAATGGGAGCGCGCTTAATTAAGAGTGACAAATCCAATATCATAAACTTCACTATTTTGTGGAAGTAGACATATACTTTTGTCGCAGTAGACATAAACTGTTGTGGTAGTAGATACACTATATTGTGTTAGCAGATTCAGACTATTTGTGTTGCATATTCAGTCTACTGCGGTGGTAGATTCAGCCTACCTTGGTACTAGATTCATTCTCTTATGGTAGCCGATTCACTCACTTGTAGTATGCCTTTTTAATTTGCATTTCTATTGCTAATGTGTCTTTTCAATGTGAAGTTCTATTGATAATGTGATAATGTATAATTTCAATGTGTAGTCCTACTTGAAATGTGTCTTTTCAATGTGTATTTTTATATCATATGTAATTTTTCAAAGTTTTCCTCTATTGCTAAAATGCCTTTTAATTGTGTAGTTCTAAAAATAATGTGTAATTTCAATTTGCAGTACTATTGCTATTGTGTTTGTTTTCAATGTGTACTTGTCTTTTCTAAATGTAGGTATTTTGCTAATATGTGTTATTTTTTTTCAATTTGCAGTTCTATTGTTAGTGTCTCTTTTCAATGTTTAATTCTATTGTTATATGATTTTTTAATGTGTAGATCTATTGCCACTGTGTCTTCTCAAATGGCAGTTTTGTTGTTAAAGTATATTTTTAATCTGTAATTCTATTGGTAATGTGTAATATCAATATGAAGTTCTTTTGCTAATTTGTCTTTTTAATTTGCAGTTCTATTGTGTCTCTTCAATATTTAGTTCTATTGTAAATGTATCTTTTTGATGTGTGGCTACATTGCTAATTAATGTGTTTTTCCATGGGTAATGTGAGTTTTCAGTGTGCAGTTCTTTTAGTAATAGTTCTTTTAAATGTGTAGTTCTATTTCTAATGTGTTTTTAAATGTGTATTCTATTGATAATGTATTTTTAATGCTTCCTCTCAGTTGGTACCTTTATTGTTAATATGTATTTTTAATGTGTAATACTGTTGCTAATATTTTTTTCAATTTCCAAGCCTGTAACGAATGTGTCTTAAACATATGCTGTTCTAATGCTAAAAGATGCTTGGTCGCCAAGTGGTCTTAACGCAGAAAATCTCCAGTTGGTGGTCTACCCAAAGCCAAGCCAATCAAAAACATTATCAGCACCCCGGCGTAGATGAGACTCGTTATCCTTGGTTGGCAACTCATTTAAGGGAAGGAAAACTCTGAATTCAAACCTGGAGATGGAGTCCAGTGGTCGGATGACATTGGTGCAATGAAATAGTCTGACTACCCTTGTCACGGGTGCCAAGCTGTATCATCTAAAATGATGTTCACCTGGGTTATCCAGCGGCGTGGAGAGAGGCGATTTGCTGTTGGGAACCAGCTTATAATCCTAGAAGAATGATCCCAGGCCATGTGGATTTCGTCCTGCGAAGTCCACACCATCATCACATTGTGCAGGTCGGATGCCAGCGAAAAAATGCATTTGTTTTTTTTTCAATGTGAAATTTTATTGCTATTTTGTCTTTTTAATGAGTAGTTCTATTGCTAATGTATCTTTTCAATGTGTAGTTATATTGCTAATGTGTCTCATAATTGTATTGTTCTATTGGAAATGTAAAGCTAATTCGAAGAATTTTAATCATATTTTTTTTGGAACATCTCCTCACTATTAAAAAAAAAAAAAAGATCATCTTACCAAAAAAAAAATAATAAAGTAAACAAAAAGCAACGTTTGATGACCCTTTAACAGGTAGAGTAATTATTAAGGTGTTTATTTCATGTGAAGAGGTATCTAACGATTTGAATTAATGTATGGATGAAATGCCGAAATTCTCTTTATTATGTAGAGTACTTGCAAATGTTTTGATGATCAACTTCCTGGAAGAAATTAGAGATTATCTACCAGCCTACGTTCGGCTACCGGCAACGGTCATGAGAGAAGACTTCTGTACAGAACAGATCAAGCCATTGTTTTTACCTGTCGTGTCCGCTGTTCTTGTTCAGGATTTTTTTACACCCGAAACAAAGTCTAAAGTAAGGGTTGGCTTTTTATTTTATGTCAACCGTTGACCCCTCGCGTTAACTGGATACGTGGGGGGTTAATACCTGACCCCCAACCACAAAAAACCCTGTTAATAGAAAGGTCGCGTTAATGCCATGTTTTTTTTTAAAAACAATATTTTGTTTACGTCCTCGTCTGGCTCTACAATATATCTCAATTCATTCGAGACTCCCTCCAAAGTAAGGTAACAGTCAGTCTACCAGTAGCCTCAATCAGCAGGCAGACTAATATTCAACTAAAATACCACGCAATGTAAACATTAACCTAAGATAACACACAGTCGAAAAGTTACCTAAAATACACACAGTTGAACAGCAGCCTAACATAACTCGCAGTCTAACAGTAAGCTAAAACAACACACAGTCTAATAGTAGCCTAAGATGCCACACTGTCTAACAGCAACCTAAAAGAACACGCAGCCGAAAAGTAGCCTAATATAACACGCAGGCCTAACTTTAACTTAACATAACGCGCAGTCTAATAATAGCCTCAAATAAAACACAGTGTAACACTATCCTGAAAATATCACGCAGTTCAACCGTAGCCTAACATAACACACTATCCTAGACTGCGAGTTAACGGTAACCTGAAAAGCACACAATATAAAAGTAACATAACATTAGAAACAATCTAAAACGTCATTATATAGCACACAGTCTGACAGTAGCCTTGCTGACTGCCGAATAGCACTGGGAATTTCACAGCTACTAAGCGCACATTATTTACTTTCAACTTAAATACAACGCCAACACTATCCAATATTTTTGCATGTAAATACACCATAAAAAAAACAGAGAACATTTGTGCGTCTAAATACATTGCCAAGTCCAGCCATCATGATAGCGTATAAACGCCACGCATCCAGTAGATAAACGAAAGCCAAAGATTTAGATGTTTGGAAACACGTTCGCGCATACGATCTGCGGATGTCGAAGAAAGATCCAAACAATCTATGTTTTTATTCTTTTTATAAAAAGATTAAGTGTTCGTGAATTTTAACGAATATAATCTAATGATTACTTGTAAAAAATATGTTATAAAGTATAACGTTAAAGGAAATTTTGACTTTGAGGGGAAGCAAAATTTATGCAAAACTGTCGCTTGGTCGCCTTTTACGTTTACATGATAAAAACATGGATATCTAGTCATAGTTTGTAACTATCTAAGGCTTAGCCTATGTATTTTTAAATTGTTATAGAACCACTTTTATGTACCGACATAAGCCTTGATGGAACTCTTTGTTCCGCTAACTCCCACATTTTCGTTGAAGCACCATTTATTATTGGTCAACAAAAAGATTTATCCTAAATTATCATATAAATGATAATTTTATATTTGATTTTTGTCATCTTCTTATAGTCCTCGTCACTTTTGCCCTCTCACATAGCTCTCATATTGTCCACGTCACATTGTCTTCCTCACGGTGTCTTCCCCACATTGTCTTCCTTACATTGTCTTCCTTACATTGTCCTCCTCACGGTGTTTTCCTCACATTGCCTTCCATACATTGTCCTCCTCACACTGTCTTTCTCACATTATCTTCCTCACATTGTCTCTCTTACATTGTCCTCCTTATAGAGTCCTCCTCACATATTCCTCTTTGTTCTTCTCACAATATTATCCTCACATTGTCCTCCTCACATTATCCCCCTCACATTATTCTCCTAACATTGTCCTCCTCACATTATTCCCCTCACATTATTCTCCTCACATTGTCCTCCTGACATCGCCCTCATTACACTGTCCCCCTCATTTTGTCATCCTCACACTATCCCCTTAACATTGTCGTCATCACATTGTCCTCATCATATTGTCCCTCCTCACATTGTCCTCCTGACATTGTCGTCATCACATCGTCCTCCTCATATTGTCCCTCCTTACATTGTCCTCCTCACATTGTCCTCCTGACATTGTCGTCATCACATTGTCCTCCTCATAATGTCCCTCCTCACATTGTCCTCCTGACATTGTCTTCATCACATTGCCCTCCTCACATTGTCCTCCTGACATTGTCGTCATCACATTGTCTTCCTCATATTGTCCCTCCTCACATTGTCCTCCTCATTTTGTCCCTCCTCATATTGTCCTCCTCATTTTGTCCCTCCTCACATTGTCCTCCTGACATTGTCGTCATCACATCGTCCTCCTCACATTGTCCTCCTGACATTGTCGTCATCACATTGTCCTCCTCATAATGTCCTTCCTCACATTGTCCTCCTCACATTGTCCTCCTGACATTGTCGTCATCACATTGCCCTCCTCACATTGTCCTCCTGACATTGTCGTCATCACATTGTCTTCCTCATATTGTCCCTCCTCACATTGTCCTCCTCATTTTGTCCCTCCTCACATTGTCCTCCTCATTTTGTCCCTCCTCAAATTGTCCTCCTCAGATCTCCCAATTCATTGTCACTCTTGTTGGCACCTATTTCTTTGAAAACAATTTTTGTGTGTTTACATTTTTGCGAAGCAGGTCTTCGTCATGGCAGAGAACATCAAGAAACAAATTGTCGTTGTCTTTGATGGCGTCCCTTGGTTTGATGAGCCATTGAAAGCGGCCGTAATACGGAAAGCCCAAGACATGAAACTAGTAATTGCTTACCCTGACTGGGTCGTTGACCCGGTAACACTGGACAAAATCTATCAAAACATCTCGGTCAATCGCGGTGAATTGCTGTTCAGCCTCATTAGTATCAGGAGGGAGACTTTAAGAAAAATATACCACCAAAATGAAACTGAACCCTGGATGTAAGTGTGGTGTGGTTGATCGCATTGAGTATAATGAAATAGTAACATTACACCTAATTGCATCGACATGGCTTGACACATGCTTAGACTTTGTCACTAAAATCATGTCATATGACGCATGATAAGAGCTTTTCACGACCATCCTATCATGTGACACATGATTAGAATTTATCAATACTACGTTGTCATAACACACTTGATAAGTGTTTGTCACGAACATCCTGTCATGTGACACATGATAAGAGTTTGTCACGATCCTACATAAACAATGTTTTCTAGGTTGTTATTTCGATTTTTTTTTTTTTTTTTTTTTTTTTTGTATTGTTTTTTATTTTTTTCCCTTTTGGAATGCGTCTTAAGTTTGACCCATTTCATGATCTCCAAATCAGCTTAAAACAATTGAAATTCAGTTTTTTTGGCGCACCAAGCTGTTGTTAGTTACAGGACTGTAGCAATTCTACATCTGTGGTGGCCATTTATTTTATACTTTTCAGTACACATTGGAAAAACTCGTTGTAAGGAAAAATTATTTTGTTATGCTTTATTTGTATAAGGGCTTCGAGATGATATGAGCGACTTTTTCATGTTCCGAATGTTTCTATGTGTCTATGATTTTCCTTAAATTTTATGATGTCAGATTTAAATATATTTTTTGGAGTGTCTAGCACGCTCCCAACGCATGTTGATGGTTTTACTAAGTATTTACTTTATTAATACTTAAACCTATACCGTATCAGAATCTACTTTTCAGAATCCCTTTGCGTGCAACGGAAAACTTCAAACTGATAATATCCACATCTTCTTATGCAAATAATAGAGGGGATGGTGGGGGAAAAACCGGGCCGAGGGTGGGGGGAGGGGCGACAGGAAGCGCCGTCATAATTGTATTTTTTTATTTATTTTATAAAACACTATGACTCTGGCGTTTCTCCGTCGACTTTAATGTGACAATTTCTTAAATAAAGATTGGTCGCTCTCTATAAATTTACTTACTGCTGTAAACTATTACAGGTTAAGTCCTTACAAGGGAGGGGCCTTTAAACATTTGTAGTCAATATTTAACAAGTAAAAAATTTTATGGATGGATTGGGATTTAATTTTCACAAGTGTATTAGAAATCTGGCTTTTTAATAGAGGAACGTTTTATTTTATATGATGAGTTTTTGACAGGGTCCTAAATTTCACTGATATTCACTGATAGCGCATTACAATGACAAGATTTTTTTCCCACATACAAAACTGGATCGAGAAAATAAATCTTGAATACCTAGCAGAAGCGTAGCGCGAGTATTCGTCGCCCAGGGACAAGATTCATCACCCAGGGACAAGATTCGTCACCCAGGGACAAGATTCTCGCCCAGGGACAAGATTCTCGCCCGGGGACAAGATTCTCGCCCGGGGACAAGATTCATTTTAAAAAGAACCCCCTCCCTACCTTTTTTCAAATGCCAAACCAATTATTTTCATCAATGAAATAATATCAAAGAAACATTTTGGTGCCACGATCACCTGTCCCCCCCCCCTTCCCCTCCCGTTGCTACGCTTCTGATACCTTGCTATGTGAAAGAAATATAAAACACAGATAATAATAATAAATTTTATTTGAAAAACACGCTTCAACCCCAAAAGCTCGAAGCGTGGTACAAAGTCAACCATATTAAAAAGAGAAATAACAAACAATCTAAATTTTACCACATTTAAAGACAGACGCAACAATATACAAGTACATACGAGCATACCAAGTCAAAATCTTTCATCCCATTTCAACCATAAACAACACAAGCCAAAATACATTAACTGAAAAAAAATGGTAGATGGCATCACCCAAAAGGTGTTTGCGAAATAGATGCGTTTTTAAATAGGTTTTAAAGGACTCCAGTGTCTTGCTGTTTCTGAGAGCGACTGGAAGGGCGTTCCAAATTTGTGGACCAGCAAATGCAAAAGTGCGCTTTCTGTAAGTCTCAGGGCGAGCAAATGGTATGGGTAGTTTGCCACTTTCGGATGAGCGGAGCTCTCTAGTGGGTACATACGGCGTCATGAGTGCTTTGAGATAAGACGGTGCCATGTCATGCAAGCAGAGGTGAAACTGACGTTTAACGACAAGGAATTAAATCTACACCAAGAGAGTTGACCTCGTCATTACTTCCGACATCGCTGTATTTGATTTATATATTTATTTAATTAATTTTTTTAAAATTTATTTTGAAAACGTTTCTCTCTCTTCTACTGTTGTTACAGCGGCGCGTTGGAAATACTCTACAAACATCGTGAGTTTTATGTACCCACAGAGAATAAAGTCAACATCGCCGGTTCGGTTTTGCAACTACCCTCATTTAGTTTGAATTTCCCGACGTGAGTGAGTCTCTATAATGTACTGACATGTTTAATTCATAAAATCTTTAGCTATCCATTGTTATCTTAAACACAATTTACCTATCTGTCACTGTCACAGATCAAATATTGAGATCATAATTGTGATTCAGAAAATGTATTCTTTTTATATGTTAGAATTAACAGGAAGTTAATTATTGTATGTCATGCGCAGAGAGGCAAGTGATCGACTTCGAATTGGAAATGTGGGTATTTATTTTTTACTTGTGTATCAAACAACATCTTAATTTTGACTCAACTGAATTATGTGCAAGAAGTTATATGACAACTAAGTTTAATCTATTTTCTAGAGACATTATTTCTTGCTACTTTTTTTTGGATATATATTCTGTTAATAAATATGTGATGTGAGATTCATGAAATTCTAGCCCCTTGCTTTAGGTAATCATGAACGTTTGTAAATGTGGATAATTAGATACTAAAACATAAATACCACATCATTAATTACATTATCATTACGTTATCATTATACGATCGTTACACAATCCTATGATAAATACGGTATGTGTCAAAAGAAACTTTAGTGAGACGGACATGCTCCCTAACAACTGTGCACAGCTTTAGCCGCCACGTTTTTACCTATACTGAAAAGGAAGAAGAGTTGGGCAGTTGCTGTTAGAAAATTGACTATTAACGGAGTAAAAAAAAAATATGATAAGTTCCCTGAAGCGCTTTGTTGTGTTTATTATTTATTGTACACGACAGATTCGTCTCTATTAAATATTTCCTTCAGTAGTTAAATCTAAAACTGAAATACTTTTCTAAGGTACATAGCTCGTTTTAACATATTTGTGTGCTAATACGCCATTAGACCAATGCAGTATGGAGGCATGGGAACAACTGTGGGTCACGAAATCATGCACGGCTTTGATAACATTCGCATCATGTACGATTCTAATTATAAGCTGGAGCCTAATTGGAACTCAGCTGCTAATGAATCCTACCTTAAAGTCATCAGATGTCTGATTAACCACTACACGTCAGTCCCATTCGATACTATGAGAGTAAGTATATGACATGGATGCTTAAGAGAGTATGTATATGAAAATGAATGCCATGTCCATGTATCGAGTAATTGCAAGATTGAATCATATTTAGTTCAAACCGTTTTGTTCTTTATAAAAAAAATAATTTGATGCATCTTTAATTAATATATGTATATTTTTTTGTTAATTTTTAAAGGCTCACGGCTTATCAAGCATACCTGAAGACATATGTGATAATCAAGGTTTTAAACTTACTTACAATGCATACAAGGCGTTAGGGGAACTAAACGAACCACGTCTGCCTGGCCTGAACCTCACAGATGACCAGATGTTTTTCGTGGCATTTGGCCAGGTACGTTAAACACCGAACTAACACGTCTACTCAGACCTACCGGATGCTTTACTTTTCCATGCTACGATTCCCAGCTGCTCTCTCTCCACATCCACCTCCCATCTAAGCCCTGGTCTGTCTTTGGGTTGTTCTCCTCAGGGGTGTTGGTGGCGCACCCTCATCCCTCACTTTTATTTGGCATTCTTCCTTTGTGTACCACTCAGCGCAGGCTGCCTTTTTGTTAAATCTCCATACATTTCCTAGTTGGTTTGTATTCTCCATCCAATGTCATCCTTTTTGGTCCATATATCTCCATACATTTCCTAGTTGGTTTGTATTCTCCATCCAATGTCATCCTTTTTGGTCCATATATCTCCATACATTTCCTAGTTGGTTTGTATTCTCCATCCAATGTCATCCTTTTTGGTCCATATATCTCCATACATTTCCTAGTTGGTTTGTATTCTCCATCCAATGCCATCCTTTTTGGTCCATATATCTCCATACATTTCCTAGTTGGTTTGTATTCTCCATCCAATGCCATCCTTTTTGGTCCATATATCTCCATACATTTCCTAGTTGGTTTGTATTCTCCATCCAATGCCATCCTTTTTGGTCCATAAATCTCAATACATTTCCTAGTTGGTTTGTATTCTCCATCCAATGTCATCCTTTTTGGTCCATATATCTCCATACATTTCCTAGTTGGTTTGTATTCTCCATCCAATGCCATCCTTTTTGGTCCATATATCTCCATACATTTCCTAGTTGGTTTGTATTCTCCATCCAATGCCATCCTTTTTGGTCCATATATCTCCATACATTTCCTAGTTGGTTTGTATTCTCCATCCAATGTCATCCTTTTTGGTCCATATATCTCCATACATTTCTTAGTTGGTTTGTATTCTCCATCCAATGTCATCCTTTTTGGTCCATATATCTCCATACATTTCCTAGTTGGTTTGTATTCTCCATCCAATGCCATCCTTTTTGGTCCATATATCTCCATACATTTCCTAGTTGGTTTGTATTCTCCATCCAATGCCTTCCTTTTTGGTCCATATATCTCCATACATTTCCTAGTTGGTTTGTATTCTCCATCCAATGCCATCCTTTTTGGTCCATATATCTCCATACATTTCCTAGTTGGTTTGTATTCTCCATCCAATGCCATCCTTTTTGGTCCATATATCTCCATACATTTCCTAGTTGGTTTGTATTCTCCATCCAATGTCATCCTTTTTGGTCCATATATCTCCATACATTTCCTAGTTGGTTTGTATTCTCCATCCAATGTCATCCTTTTTGGTCCATATATCTCCATACATTTCCTAGTTGGTTTGTATTCTCCATCCAATGTCATCCTTTTTGGTCCATATATCTCCATACATTTCCTAGTTGGTTTGTTCTCTCCATCCAATGTCATCCTTTTTGGTCCATATATCTCCATACATTTCCTAGTTGGTTTGTATTCTCCATCCAATGTCATCCTTTTTGGTCCATATATCTCCATACATTTCTTAGTTGGTTTGTATTCTCCATCCAATGTCATCCTTTTTGGTCCATATATCTCCATACATTTCCTAGTTGGTTTGTATTCTCCATCCAATGCCATCCTTTTTGGTCCATATATCTCCATACATTTCCTAGTTGGTTTGTATTCTCCATCCAATGTCATCCTTTTTGGTCCATATATCTCCATACATTTCCTAGTTGGTTTGTATTCTCCATCCAATGCCATCCTTTTTGGTCCATATATCTCCATACATTTCCTAGTTGGTTTGTATTCTCCATCCAATGCCATCCTTTTTGGTCCATATATCTCCATACATTTCCTAGTTGGTTTGTATTCTCCATCCAATGTCATCCTTTTTGGTCCATATATCTCCATACATTTCCTAGTTGGTTTGTATTCTCCATCCAATGCCATCCTTTTTGGTCCATATATCTCCATACATTTCCTAGTTGGTTTGTATTCTCCATCCAATGTCATCCTTTTTGGTCCATATATCTCCATACATTTCCTAGTTGGTTTGTATTCTCCATCCAATGTCATCCTTTTAGGTCCATATATCTCCATAAATTTCCTAGTTGGTTTGTATTCTCCATCCAATGCCATCTTTTTTGGTCCATATATCTCCATACATTTCCTAGTTGGTTTGTATTCTCCATCCAATGCCATCCTTTTTGGTCCATATATCTCCATACATTTCCTAGTTGGTTTGTATTCTCCATCCAATGCCATCCTTTTTGGTCCATAAATCTCCATACATTTCCTAGTTGGTTTGTATTCTCCATCCAATGTCATCCTTTTAGGTCCATATATCTCCATACATTTCTTAGTTGGTTTGTATTCTCCATCCAATGTCATCATTTTTGGTCCATATATCTCCATACATTTCTTAGTTGGTTTGTATTCTCCATCCAATGTCATCCTTTTTGGTCCATATATCTCCATACATTTCCTAGTTGGTTTGTATTCTCCATCCAATGCCATCCTTTTTGGTCCATATATCTCCATACATTTCCTAGTTGGTTTGTATTCTCCATCCAATGTCATCCTTTTTGGTCCATATATCTCCATACATTTCCTAGTTGGTTTGTATTCTCCATCCAATGTCATCCTTTTTGGTCCATATATCTCCATACATTTCCTAGTTGGTTTGTATTCTCCATCCAATGTCATCCTTTTTGGTCCATATATCTCCATTTATTTCTAGTTGGTTTGTATTCTCCATCCAATGTCATCCTTTTTGGTCCATATATTTTCCGGAGAAAATTTTCTCTCCCATGTGTGTAACAGGTTATCTGCCTTTCTTTTCCGTATGTTACAACTGGGGTGATTACAATTGTGTAAAAAGTTTTCTTTTCCGTATGTTACAACTGGGGTGATTACAATTGTGTAAATAGTTTTCTTTTCCGTATGTTACAACTGGGGTGATTACAATGGTGTAAATAGTTTTCTTTTCCGTATGTTACAACTGGGGTGATTACAATTGTATAAATAGTTTTCTTTTCCGTATGTTACAACTGGGGTGATTACAATTGTATAAATAGTTTTCTTTTCCGTATGTTACAACTGGGGTGATTACAATGGTGTAAATAGTTTTCTTTTCCGTATGTTACAACTGGGGTGATTACAATTGTGTAAATAGTTTTCTTTTCCGTATGTTACAACTGGGGTGATTACAATTGTGTAAATAGTTTTCTTTTCCGTATGTTACAACTGGGGTGATTACAATTGTGTAAAAAGTTTTCTTTTCCGTATGTTACAACTGGGGTGATTACAATTGTGTAAATAGTTTTCTTTTCCGTATGTTACAACTGGGGTGATTACAATTGTATACATAGTTTTCTTTTCCGTATGTTACAACTGGGGTGATTACAATGGTGTAAATAGTTTTCTTTTCCGTATGTTACAACTGGGGTGATTACAATTGTGTAAATAGTTTTCTTTTCCGTATGTTACAACTGGGGTGATTACAATTGTGTAAATAGTTTTCTTTTCCGTATGTTACAACTGGGGTGATTACAATTGTGTAAAAAGTTTTCTTTTCCGTATGTTACAACTGGGGTGATTACAATTGTGTAAATAGTTTTCTTTTCCGTATGTTACAACTGGGGTGATTACAATTGTATACATAGTTTTCTTTTCCGTATGTTACAACTGGGGTGATTACAATTGTGTAAATAGTTTTCTTTTCCGTATGTTACAACTGGGGTGATTACAATTGTATAAATAGTTTTCTTTTCCGTATGTTACAACTGGGGTGATTACAATTGTATAAATAGTTTTCTTTTCCGTATGTTACAACTGGGGTGATTACAATGGTGTAAATAGTTTTCTTTTCCGTATGTTACAACTGGGGTGATTACAATTGTGTAAATAGTTTTCTTTTCCGTATGTTACAACTGGGGTGATTACAATNTTATTGGTTGTGGGTCTTGGGTCAATGATGAGACAAAGAATAACTATTTTTGCATAGACCGTATGCCTAATGTTCAGTAAGTGTTTCGTTCAGACAGTAATTTATGGGGAAGGGGGGGGGGAAATGTCATATTTTGGGGGGGGGGCACTGTCAGTTGCAAGTGACTAAAGTGGAGGGGGGTTACAAAACGGGCTGCGATGATATTTAATGGTTGAAATAAATTTTTCAGAATTAAAGGGGGTAGGGCGTAAAAAAAAATCATTTCCCCTGACGCCAAACCCTTTAGCTACGCCCCTTCCAGTGGTATAGAAAGAGGAGTATGAAGCTAATCACCCAGGTCTCATTTTTTTCTTTATATGGAGGTATGGCATTATCGGAAAACTGCAGAGTTTGTATCTTGAAAAGTAGTACGGCAAATATTTGGCCCCCATGGTGATACTAATATTAGCTACGCCTCTAGAAAGTTTAACAAATCACCAAATTAGTGATTCTTTTCATCTTGGTGTAGGGTAGAAATAGAATCTTGCTGGGATGTATATAAATAAAACTAAGTAAAAATCTTAACGGTAAATTCAGCCAACCAAGTACATGTCTCTCTGGCATGAAATGCACTTAAAGATTTGGAGATTTTCACATACTTTATTAAGCAGCAAAATTGACTTAAATGGTTGATCCGTAGCAGATGTCAGGTCTAGAATTGGAAAGGCTATGTCAGCATTTATTCTATTAAAGAAAAC